CAAGGTAGTTCTACTTACTGTCTCTCAGCTGCCAGGCAGAATGAAAGTGTCCTTAAGCCGAGTGAGGAAATATGAATGTGAGCAGGGGATTTATAGGGGGCAGGACAATGAAGTGTAGGAACTCTCTGTCCTGAGCAACACCTCCTCTGAGCCATCACAAAGCAGAGCATTGGGCAGGCTATGAAATCTTCTTTGTCCTGCCCCCACCCCCATTACCAGTAGCCTTTAGGAAATGCCTCCACAACCAGAACCCATTTGCCTGTGGGAGTGGGGAGGGCTGTCAGAAGGGTGAGGACATCATGTCAGTGCCAAAGACCAGTACAGTGCACTGTGCTTTAGAACAGGATTTGGCAACTCGCTGCTCTATGATCCATTATCAAAAACAGGGAGTGATCTACCACCCAGGGATGGGTGCAGGGTGGACAGGCAGGGGTGGGTGGCAGGGGTGGGTGCAGGGTGGGCCGGCACCTAGCTGTCTCCCCCCCCCCCCAAGCCAGCCCTTTCTTTCTCTCTCTCCCTCCCTCCCCCAGCAGCTCTCTCTCTCCCCCCCCCCAAACCAGTTGGGCTGCAGAGCTGTCCTGTGCGAAACTTCTCCTACCCTGAAATATACTTGGAGTCCTGCAGTGATTTTGTGCTCTTTATTGCTGCTTGTAAAACAGTGATCGAATCCCGCCCCCAAAAAACAACCCTTGGGCCTTTATATACATTATTTACACAATGAGTCTGATTGGCTGATTCTGCTTCCCTCCTGGAGCCTGATGGGTCTTCTCCTGCAAGCCAATCAGTTGTTGCATTCTAGGATCCTACCTGCCTATTGTTCTAGGATCCAAGCTTAGTACATAACATACTCACACCCCCAAAACAGCGTGCGATCTCTCTTCCCCCTTGTCAACAGGAGCCACGCAGCTGATGTGGATCCCAATAGCGCCTTCCCTCCCCCTTCCCTCCCTGTCAAAGGGAGCCTTCCCACGTGGCTCCTCCTCGTGCCTCCCTCTGTCTCCAGCAGCCACCCCCTTCCCGATTGGGAAAACCACGCTAAGCCCGCCTCCTGCACCTGCACTTCTGCATCTGATGTTGCAGAGAAAGGCCCTGCGACTGACCACAAACAACCCCACGGTTGACTGGGAGTCTCATGATTGACATGTTGTACATGCCTGGTTTAGAGGGTAGCATGAGACTCTTAATCTCAGGGTTGTGGGTTTGAACCCTACATCATGCATTGCAGGGGATGGGACTAGATGACTCTGATAGTCCTTTCCAACTCTATTACTCTATGATTCTATTATTATTTTCACTATTCCTAAATAACTTATGTGCACAAATTTGTTCAGGAATTATTTTTTTTAAGGGAGGGTCATGGACATTCTCAACTGGAGGTAGGAAGATATGAGGGCAAAAAGAGCAGTGCTGCCTTTTAACCTGTGGAGGCAAGAACACGAAAACTCAGAGGGACCAAAAAACAATGGAAATGGTTGACAACACAGACACACATTCACTGACTGGGTCGTCAACTCCAAATACCAGACCGTGTGGACTAATGAGGGCAAATTCAAAGCGATAAAACGTGGATTCCTAGTCAGTTACAGCTCAAATGAGGACAAGTCCCAAGACAGATTTTATTTTTACAAGAAACACTTGTTACAGTCCACAGACCTATATTTACTCCATAGAATGTGTAAGAGATAAACATATGCTTCAGCTTATTTTATTTCTTTTTTAACAGTGAAAGAACAGAACAGGTGGTCAACGAATGTATTATAGAAAGATGTCTCTCATGTGTTTTTCTGTATGAGAGAAATAATCAAAAGGAATTCTGTAAGAGAAAATAACATATATAGTTTATGTTGTCACAAAATTTGGTATTCCAATGATTCACAAATGAACTTCATTCCATCTTTCAATAAATTTGTCTGGTGAATGTCTTTTTTATAATATTTTCACTGAGTTTTAATATAACAACAAAAAAGTGAACTGTAACAAAGTATCAAATGACACAGAGCATTAACCAAACATTTTCCCCAAACGTAACATGAGGGTTAGCGTCTGTAATATTTTAAGACTTAATTGAAACAAGAGAATCACTTAGCTTTTTTAATGATCTGGTGCATGTCTACTTCATTATAAGTAAGCTTGTGTTGTTGTTGTTGTTGTTGTTGTTGTTGTTGTTTTAAAAAAAAAGCAGTCCACATATGCTTGTAGCAGTTGAAAATTGAAAGAGACCCCAGAGATTTCCAAAATCATGCTATATTCTGTCTAAATACAATCGCCTTTTCTGATTCAGGGGGAGGAGAATCAGTGACCCCTCCAAGAGATGAGTCTGCTTACAAGAAAAGACACTTCTAACTTTGTTCTTTTCAACCCTTCTTCCAAGCTTTGTGTCCTTTTAGTAACCTCCTTTATTTCTCCCTTCAATTCATTCACCGTCACTTCTATTTTTTATCCATTTGTCCTATTTTTTTATCCATCTGTTCTAATTTGGATTCTATATTTTTTCACTTTGTTTTATATCCTTTTTAATTTCAGCAAACATTTTCAATATATCCCCTTTAAGTTCTGACTCCTGTCTTGAGCCCTTCCTGTCCCCTGGTGTCGCTCCCTCACTTTTTTTTTTCTGTGACTGAGTTTTTTTCTTGCTGCTTCCATCCTTGGGCTAATAATATTCTTGCTGTGGTTGTTGCATATAAAAACAGTTTCTTGTCTATGTATTTCACTACCCACAATACCAATTAAGAAGGCTTCTGGGGTTTTTTTACAAATGTTTATTTCAACATTTTTTAAATTTCATTGTATATCATCTCCCAGAAAGCCTTTACCTCCTTAAAAGTCCACCACATGTGGTAGAAAGTACCTTCTTTTCCTTTACCTTTCCAACATTGGTTATTTACTTAATACATTTTTGCTAACTTCACTGGTGTAATGTACCATGTACACATCACTTTCATTACATTTTCTTTAAGTGAACAGCAAGCTGTAAAGTTTATTCCTTCCTTCCATAATTTTTCCCAATCCTCAAACTGTATATTATGCCCTATATCTTTACCCCAGTGTATCATAACTGATTTAACCTCTTCATCCTTGACATGCCATTCCAAAAGTAATTTATACATTTTTGATAATATTTTAACCTTATTACTTAACAACTGTAATTCAAATCTTGATTTTGTATATTCAAATCCATTTTTCTTTTTATCTTCTTTAAACATTTCAGGGCTGGAGGTAGTCTTGTGTCCATTATCCATGATCTTCCTGCTAGATTAACTGCAGTGAGTTATAGGTGGGGTGACTTTGAAAAGAGTACAGAAAGTTCTGCATAGGGTATCAAGACTCTTAAAGGGCTTCTGGAAAATTTCACTATATTGCACTAGTGATTTATTGTCTACTCTGGCTTCCAGTCATTTCTGGTTCCAGTTCAAGGCACTGTTCTTGACCATTAAATTCCTTAAATTACCTGGGAGCATCTTACCTCAAGGATCACCTCCTCCCAGGTCTACTTACCTGGACCTCGATATCATCATCAGAGGCTCTCTTCCAGTGCTCCTGGATTCAGGGTCTTATAGGTGGTGTCAGCCTGGTTGAAATGCCTTCCCTGGAAAGGCCCACCTGGTGCCATCTTTGTGATGTTTACTGTCCAAAGTTTTAAAACTGAACCTTTGAATTCACAGGGTTTTAGATGTGTGCTGTGTATATTTTTGTGATGTTGTATATTCATCTTTATTTTGTGTTATTGAAACTGTTGCTTTTAAAGCTGGAGTGCGGGGGCTGCTTCTATTGAGATTTATTTTTTAATTAATTGAATGTGTTTGCCCAGAACAACACAAAGTGACTTACAACGAGCCATTAATGCATTTCAGGGAGGGCATCGCCATATCCCAGTTCTCTTTTGGCAACATCTCTTCCCCCACCTCTTCATTTCACTTTAGGAAGCAGTTGTGCACACTTCCGGCTTTCTGCATTCTGGGGCCTTTTCCTCCTCTTAGCCAGGTGACCTCTGCATCTTCCTAGGGCTGAGCACTATGGGAAGCAGCTCCTCCTAACCCACTTCTGTCTGCCACGACCACAAGAGGTGAATGTTTCACCTTGTCACCCCTAGTTTGCTTGCACACACTCTGACACACGTGCTGCCTGTATCTCCTCTTCCTGCTCGTCTCACAGCTGATAAAAAGGGACACACTTACTCTTCATTTCATTTCATTTTTATTGGTGAAAGAACAGAACAGGCAATCAAGGATATTATAGAAAGATGTCTCTCCTGTACTTGCGTATGAGAGAAATAATCAAAAGGAATTCAGTAAGATAAAATAACATATATAGTCTATGCTGTCAGAAAATTTAGTATTCCGGTGATTCATAAATGAACGTCATTCCGGCGTTCAATATATTTGTCTGGTGAATGTCTTTTTTATTAATATTTTCAATGAGTTTTACTGTAACAACAAAAGAGTGAACTATAACAAAATGTATCTCAAATGATACAGAGAATGAACCAAACATTTCCCCCCAACATAACATGAGGGTTAGCGTGTGTAATATTTTAAGACTTAATTGAAACAAGAGAATCACTTAGCTGGTTTTTATGATCTGGTGCATGACTACTACATTATAAGCAAGCTTGATTTTTTTTTTAAAGCAGCCTAAATATACTTGAGAGTTGAAAGAGACCCCAGAGATTTCCAAAATCATGCTATATTCTGTCTAAATACAATCCCTTTACCTCATTCAGGGGGTGGGGAATCGGTGACCCCTCCAACAGATGAGTCACTGCTGCTTACAAGGAAGGACAGAAAGAGAAGCAGTCGGCACAGTGCAAACACACCAGCGGGAGTACTGGATTGGCTCTGCCAGTGTGTTTGCACCACACCAAGCTCCCCAATCACTTGCCTCTCTCCCTTCCAGCAAGCAGCAGCAGTTCAGCTGTCAGGAGGCCAGGTAAGCACCACCACTCCACCCTGTCATCCTCTGTTGCCAGTGGAAGAGGGCTGTGCAGCAGGGTGGTGGATCAGTCACAAACAGAACATCTTCACGTCACGAAGTTCTACTTTAACAAGCACTTCATGCTCATTCCCCACCCTTGTTTGGATGCCACATATGAAGCCCCTAGGGCAGCGCTTGCTCATTTTGCCCTCTTCCATCCGTTCAAAGATATCTTTCTTCACTTTAGCCCCACCACTGCAGAGGACCTCAAGGTTAGTGACTGCATGAGGAATTAGCAGTTGTGGTATTTCAATAGTCAAAGAAAAGGACACCATGTTGCCTTGGGGGCATTTCTGAACCGCAACCCATTCCCCGAGCCTGTAAAGAAAAGGACAAGGATGGCAATGTCTAAATAGAAATTTACATACCACAACTTTGTCAATGTATTTTTATTTTTAAAGTCTCTCCAGAGATATAACTCCAGAGATATAAAGAAGAATTTAAATCAAGGGAAACTTCCGAGATTGTTTAATGACCTAGAGGAAAACCTAGACTTAATAGATATATGGAGACACAAAAATCCTATGACAAAACAGTTCACTCACTTTTCGGAGCCACATCGGAGTTGGAGTAGGCTGGATCAGATATGGATATCAAGAGAATTAACAATAAGAGTGTCGAAATGTGAGATACAACCTAGAAAATTATCTGATCACAGACCTATAATGTTACATCTAAATGGGAAGACCCAGGGTATGTATAAATGGAGAATGAACGATTATTTATTTGAAAAAGAAGAAGTGATTGAAAAAGCTAAAACCACCTTAAAAGAATATTTTGACTTAAATATCAATAAGGAGACAAATATGGATATAGTTTGGGATGCCAGTAAGGCAGTGTTAAGAGGTTTTTTGATACAACAAAACAGTCAAAGAAAAAAGGTGAGAGAACAAAAAAAAGAAGAATTAATTAACCAATTAAGAGAATGTGAAAAGATCTTGATAGAAAAACCGAATGATGATGGGAACAAGCAACTGCATAAGATGTTGCAAACACAATACTCAATATTAATAAACCAAGAGGTGGAATGGGGAATTAAATTAATGAAACAAAAACTTTTTGAATCGGCAAACAAAACTGGAAAGTTTCTGGCGTGGCAACTGAGAAAAAGAAGAAAACTAAGTGTCAACAACAAAATAAAAGTAGAAGAACAAGTCTTGGAGGATCCTTGTGAAATAAAAAAGAGCTTCCTTAAATTTTATGAAAACCTATATAAAAGAGAAGAAGAAGATGTAATAGAAATAGGAAAATATCTAGAAGAAAATAGAATTAACAACATATCGGAAGAGGAAAGAAGTGCATTAAACAAACCCATAAAAGCAGAGGAAATTCAAGAGGCGATAAAGAGGATGAAATTGGGGAAAGCCCCAGGCCCAGATGGTTTATCGGCCAAGTACTATAAAGTCCTGGAAGAACTTATAACACCGGTGTTATGTGAAGTAATGAATGAGATTTTAGGAGGAGGAAGAATAGTAGCGTCCTGGAAAGAGGCATACATCACGCTGATACCGAAACCGGATTCGGACAGACTTAATATTAAGAACTATAGACCGATTTCATTATTGAATAATGATTACAAGATTTTCACAGACGTAATGGCGAGCCGACTTAAAAACTGTTTAGTCAATCTCATCCATACTGATCAGGCTGGTTTTCTACCAAATAGGCAAATTAAAGACAACATAAGACACACAATAAACATTATTGAATACTTGGAATCCAAAAATGAAATTCCCGCAGTTTTAATGTTCATTGACGCCGAAAAGGCTTTTGACAATGTATCCTGGCGTTTTCTTATCACATGTGGTGGTCGTGTGAGGTAATCAGAAAATTCTGGGAATCTATTTATAATGAACTAAAAAAAATCCTTAAATACACTTTCATAAAAAAACCAGAGGCCTTTCTACTGGGGATAATTGGAGAGGAAATCAAAAAGGAAGATCAAACACTTTTTCAGTATGCAACAGTGGCTGCCAGAACTTTAATAGAGCAGAATTGGAAGACATCAAAAATCCCAACTATAAATGAGTGGCAAACCAAACTATTTGACTATTTAGAATTGACAAAAATGGCACAGAAAATAAAAAACCAAAAAGGCATAAAGTTTAATAACGAATGGAATAAATTTATGGTATACATGGAAACAGAGGTAAAAAATTTAAAAATCACAGTAGGTGAGACATAACGCTTGTGATGCAAAGAGTTTTGTGAGGAAAAGAAACTGCAGAAAGAGAAATTTTTAACACATTCCGAAACCGAGATGAAGGGAAGTCAATTTAGTGTCGTGTGAGTTAATGTAAGGTAATTTGTTGATGTTTTATGTCAGGTGATGTTTTTTCTCTCTTTTTTTTCTTTTTTCTCTTCCTTATTATTTCTAAGTTTGTCTTATGTATTTTTTCTTTGTGTATTTATGTTTTATATATTGTCTTTGTTTTATAATGAATTAAATTCAATTAAAAAAAATAGAAATTTATATACCACAACTTTGTCAATGTATTTTTATTTTTAAAGTCTCTCCAGAGATATAATTCCAAATTAGAGCAAAAAGCTTTATTTCAGAAAGGATGTATAGAACAGATTCGCCTTCAAATGTGAACCAATTTGAATTTTGCCTCCATCCCTAGAAGTAAGTTTCACAGGACTTTGTGCAAGCATGTATATTTTGGGGCTGTTAAACTCAGAGCGTGTCCAGATTACCATTTGCCTTTAATCTAGCATGAAATATTTCAATCTACCCCTCCTGCTCCTACCCCAAACTTCCAAGCAACAAGTTAATAAAGGAAGAGAAATTCAAAAAGCTACTCACTCTCCACTTTTAGACTCTACTGTTTTCCCGTCAGTGCAGTGGAGACGGATGCCCTTCAGAGTGAAATCTTTTCTATAGGCTTCATTTACATCTCTGCGAAACTGGTGGAGAACGGGGGGGGGGGAGAGAGAGAGAGAGAGAGAGAGACTGGTGCTTCAATCTGCATCTGCAGTACTGGCAACATTTATTTGTGAGCAAAACAAAAAATTTTCAGTGCAAATTTCTATGTGCAAGGGCTTGCAATGACCTAGCTAGATCAGCAATGAGCAGTACTAGCTCAAGTCATGTGCACACAATTGCCCGCAGGTACTGGACATAGATGAGGATTTACATTCACCTCAAAGAACAAAAGTAGGATGGAGATAAACAAATGTGGGGTGGGGAATCAGCCTTTCTATTCAGCAGTGGCAGACCTTGGGGTCTCAAATTTCAGTAGCGCCCTGTACAATGCCAAAATTTGGCACCCCTCCACTTCCTGACTTCCATTCTAAATAATAGTTGTGGCACACTCTGAGGCACCCCCAGAACTCTGCACCCAGGGCGACCAAACCAGCCACGCTCCCCTAAATCTGTCCCTGCTAATTGCTGGCATAGACCAGTGTTTCCAACCTTTTTTGGGCAAAGGCACACTTGTTTGATGAAAAAAATCTCGAGGCACACCACCATTACAGCCCCGTGACGTCAGCGCGCAGTGTCACGCCGGGAGGGAAGGGCGCCGGGGCGCTGCTGCTGCTGCTGCCGCCGCCGCTCCCGGCAGGCATGGGCCCAGCTGAGGCGGCGGCGGCTGTTGTGGTGGTGGCGGCGATAGCGGGCGGAGGAGGGGGCGGCGGCGGGGCCGAGGTGGCCGGCGGCGGCGGGAGAGGCGGCGGCGAGTGGAGCAGGAGGGCGGCCGAGGCCGGTGAGGGAGTAGGGTTGCCCGGGGCTTGAGGAGCCGTCGCCGGGAGTTGCTGCTGCTGTTGTTGCTGCTGCTGCCCGGACATGCCGGCCTCCTCCTCGTCCGCTGTCTCGCGCTCCTCCCTTTTGCTGATCAGCTGATCCTGTCAGCTGATCCTGTGTTATTTCCTGTGTGTGTGTGTGAGGGGAGAATGGAGAGAGAAACCTCGGCACCACCACCGCGGAGCCGCCCCCGGCTCGACGCGGATCCTCATCGCCGCCGCCCCGCCTCTCGCCGCCCGACTCGCCCGCCTCCCTCCCACGGCACACCAGGCAACGTCTCGCGGCACACTAGTGTGCCGCGGAACACCGGTTGGGAAACACTGGTAGACAACCTGCATCCAGTTCTGTGCAATCCAGATGAGCAAACATTATGAGAAATGTAACAGCTCTCAGAATGAAACCCACACAGGCCTGTTCTTACGTCTCTTTATTATTTAAGAGAAAGGAGAAAATCCGTCCCCTAGTTTTAGTATGTCAGACCATTTGGCCTTCTAGGCCATTTCTGTCTACTCTGACCAGGAATAGCTCAACAGGATCCAAAAGCAAACTCTTTCCCAGACTTGTAATATGGAAATCATTAGGTTTTAACCGGAGACCTTCCATATGAAAAGCATATATTCTGTCACTGAGATGTGGTCCCTTCTACCTACCCACTCCCCTCCTTTAACAACTCAAAGTTGTCATAGTTGCATGAGCTGTTTGGGTGCCAGGTGAGAAGATTCTCTGGAGGTCTAGAGCTGTTCTTTTCCTCTCCTGCTTCTGCCTCTTTTTCTGGTTCTTGGAATCTCCACAGTTTGCCTTCCTTTCTTCCCAACGACCAGGATGAGTCTTTCTTGTGGTTGGCTCATCTGAAATCAGGTACTACCTGGAAGTTATTTTCTGCAGTTCCTACTGCAGGATAATTGTGAGCGGGTGTGAAATCATCCCCTCCACACACACAGCAACTGTACTTTGCAAGGAGGCTTAGGCAAGTCTGAAGAATTCACTGTATAATTAACTTAATATGTCTATTCAGAAGTCTTTCTTTGTTTAATGGGGCTTACTCCCAAATACATGGGTACAATATTGCGGTCCTTGCTTTGGTTTAGGGTTGGCCTTGAGGGAAAGTAGGGGTTTTGTGCCTTTCCCAGCTGTGTCAGAGGCAGAAATTCAGCAGGTTATTCCTTCTCTAGTATGGAAATACAATGATGGGAAAAAGCTTTACCTGTTTGTATTCTGTCTGTGAGACGTTTTATTATATTTGTGGTCACTGTTTTATTTTGGGGCACTCTACTCCACCCTCAAAAGAGGACAATATTTGCATACTACAAAAAGCATATGCAAATTTAATGAAAAGCTCTCCTCAGAGGTGTCGGAGCCTCTGTTACGACCGAGCTGGAAAAGCTCATCCTCCAGTCGAGTCCTTAGGAATCGCCTCCGACGATGATTAACGACCTGAGCCTCTGATAAGACTCCAGGCACGTTCCCTCATTACGCAGAGTATCCAGCAGCAGGGAAGGACGAGAAATATGAGCTACATTGCAAAGAGTTTGATTTCTAGTTACACAGACAGAAAAGCATACATCCTCTCTCTGTGAAAGCAGAGAGCAACTGGAAAACAAAGGAACACGAAACCAGTAACATCACATCTGTCTCCCATCTTCTGTGAGACTTCCAATAGCCTTGAATCTCTGGAATGTAAACAGAGTCCTGTGACTCCAAGCACTGCACAGTGGCAACACACAGAAACCTAACATGAGGACCCAGGCCATATACTGTGTGTTGGGGACAGAAAATCCTGTTGGCATGCCTGGGATTCAGTAATTAGTAAACTGAACTGTATATTAGATGCTACAGACTTGGCATCTTGGTGTTTCTGGGACTCTGTGTGGGTTCTGTGATAGAGGCTGCATTTTTCATTCTGTCTGCTGCTTTCCCTGCCCTTCTTTCTAAATAAAGGTGTTTGTTTGTTTGTGCTTTTCATACGTCTGTATAATATTGTGACCACGCCTTAGCATCAGGGTGTCAAAATTCAGACTATAGATAGGCATTTACCTTCATTTGGAATCCATTTGCATATCCCGTGGGACAGAATTCAGGTTTTCCCCATATACCATCGTTCCCTCCATTGGACACAGTGAGGACTGCATTATGTTTTCGGTCTTCTGCACCACAGAGATGGTAGGAGAAGAAGAGGAAGACCACAGCGCTGACAGGGAGCTCCATGGAAAGTGATCTGCACCAGATCTAGCTGCAAAAATTAATTGGTTTTTTTAAAAAAAAAATTTATTGATTTTCAAACACAAAATAAACACAAACAATAAAACAATACACAAACAAACAAACATTAAACATGTATAATTTTCATAACCTTCTTTTCATAAACCTTGCTTCCCGGACTTCCCCATACCTCCCCTTTTCTGCATCCTTATTTTTACATTTCTTCAGCAACTCCCTCAGTTAACCAATTAATCAGTTCATTTTCTTTTAGATTCTTCTCTAGCAAAAATTAATTGGATGAATAACAGCCTTAAGAATTTATTCCTTAGGAATAGTGGCTCTTTCCTCTGGTCCAAAATTTGCATTTTCCTCTGGAGGGAAGTGTGGTTACTTTTGGTTGATGGAGTAAAATCAGTTGTTGGCTTTTCTGACTACACCTTTTGATTTCCAACTAATTAAAACGTGAATTTCTTACCCACCCTTCACCCTTGCCAAAATGTACAGCCGTACCTTGGTTCTTGAACAGAATCCCTTCCGAAAGCCCATTCAACTTCCAAAAACATTAAAAACCAAGACGCGGCTTCTGATTGGCTGCAGGATCTTCTTGCACTCAATCGGACGCCATGGAAGCTCCGTCGGATGTTTGGGTTCCAAAGAACATTTGCAAACCAGAACACTCACTTCCAGGTTTGCGGCGTTCAGGAGCCAAAACGTTCAAGTCGCAAGGCGTCCAACAACCAAGTTGTTGTATTTCCTATGTCTTGGCAATTTGGCCTTCCTATTAAAACTCCCCCTCCAATTTCTGTTTCTCTTTTTCTTAAGGGATTTCTCTCTCTCTCCCTCTCTCTCTCTCTCTCTCTCTCACACACACACACACACACACACAGTCTCAGGTGTAAGACAGAAGGGAGAAATTGCCACACCTAGGGATGGGAACACAAATTGTCATTTAACTTGAAACAAACACATACTTCCTATCAGCCCCAAATAGCTCAATAAAGTAAAATGGTTTAGGGTGAAGACAGGTGTAACATTTGAATAGAATTGACAGGAGACTCCACTCAGCTACCTGCCATCATCACAATTTAGTTGGCAGATACTCATACTAGCAAGTAGAAAGCAGGCAGGCAGGCAGGCAGGCAGGAAGGAAGGAAGGAAGGAAGGAAGGAAAGCACGTCCGCTACATTTGTCTTTCTTGCTCCAGCCTGCTCTTGTTTTTCACCTCAAGGGGTGTCCCCTCAGTGCATTCCTGTAAGTGTAATTCTGCGTACCTGTGTGCACTGTAGCTGAGGTGCACAAATCAATCAGTGTACACTCTTTCACACAAGCAATAGTATAAGTGTAGAGAAAGGATACACCTCTGCCCAGTGTAATGTGTGCATAAGCCTAAGACTTGTGCCTAACTGGTGGGTGAGTTTTCCTTACTTCTGTCTCTGCCTAATGCCTTAGGCTCTTAGCAGAGCCAATCACCTTCCCACCAGCTCTACAGGGAAAAGGTACCCTGTAGCCAACCCATCCTTAAGCATCTTGGAACTTATGGTAGCAAACTCACAGCATTATTAATTCCACACCAGAGCACCGGTTTGAAAAACAGTTGGAAACTGTTCCTAAGAGATGAACCGGCCCTCTTTCCCATGGCTTTGCAGGGGACAGTGGGAAATACCGGTAAGCTTCTGCAGGCACCAGTATTCTGCTGGTCTTACTAAAGTCTGGTGTTGGTGGGAGAGGGATAGACAACACAGAGGGAGTAGATGTATTTCTTCTGCAGAGCTCTTTATAATAGCCATTTTTTTTTGCCTACAAAAAAAAAAGTATTCATCTTCGGCTAAGTGCCTCCACATCAGAGATACCCACTTTAGCAGGGGCTTCGCTCTAGGAACACAGGAAATTGCCTTATTCTAAGTCAGGCCATTGGTTATCTAGCTTAGTTCTGTCTACACTAGAGCTACTCTCCAAAGTTTCAGACAGGGGACTTCCCAGTCCTACTAGGAGATGCTGGAGGATATACCTGGGACCTCCTGCAACACTGATCTACAAATTTTTACATGGAAAATTTACATGGAAAATTTACATGGAAAATTTACATGGAAAATTTACATGGAAAATTTACATGGAAAATTGCAGCGCCCCTTAGGCCAAGCTTCCCCACCCTGGTAAATTCCATATGCGCTGGACTGCAACTCCCATCATCCCCAGCCAGCAAACACGGTGCTGGTTCCAGCTGATGGGAATTGTAGTCCAGAACATCTAGAGATCACAAGGTCGGGGGATGCTGCCATAGATTTGCAACACTTCCAAAGGAATGCATCGTTAAATACCCTGAAATCTTTTGTGAAAAGCGGGGTACACTTTTCACAAAAAGTAGGGCCAAATAACACTAACAAGAATGCTTGACTGGATCTCCACTGGTTACTGGCTACTGATCAAGCCTCTGTAATTCTGGCCATGTTGCAACCCTTTTCTTCCCTTACCAAACTTCTTAGAGCAGAGCAAGGTAGTTCTACTTACTGTCTCTCAGCTGCCAGGCAGAATGAAAGCGTCCTGAAGCCGAGTGGGAGTGGGGAGGGCTGTCAGAAGGGTGAGGGCATCATGTCAGTTCCAAAGACCAGTACTGTGCACTGTGCTTTAGAACAGAATTCAGCAACTTGCTGCTCTATGGTCCATTATCAAAAACAGGGAGTGATCTACCACCCAGGGATGGGTGCAGGGTGGGCAGGTAGGTACTGGCTGCTTCCCCCGAGGGGGGCAGGGATGGATGCAGGGTGGGTGGCAGGGGTGGGTGCAGGGTGGGCCAGCGCCTAGCTGTCTCTCCCCCCCCCAAGCCAGCCCGTTCTCTCTCTCCCTCCCTCCCCCAGCAGCTCTCTCTCTCCCCGCCCACAAACTAGTTGGGCTGCGGAGCTGTCCTGTGCGAAACTTCTCCTACCCTGAAATATACTTGGAGTCCTGCAGTGATTTTGTGCTCTTTATTCCTGCTTGTAAAACAGTGATTGAATCCCCCCCCCCCAAAAAAAACCCCTTGGGCCTTTATATACGTTATTTACACAATGAGTCCCGTCTGATTGGCTGATTCTGCTTCCGTCCTGGAGCCTGATTGGTCTTTTCCTGCAGGCCAATCAATTGTTGCATTCTAGGATCCTACCTGCCTATTGTTCTAGGATCCAAGCTTAGTACATAACATACCCCCACCCCCAAACCGGCGTGCGATCTCTCTTCCCCCTTGTCAACAGGAGCCACGCTAAAGAAATTGGAGTTCTTGTTGAAAATACACTGAAAAGGATATACCAAGAGCTCTGGCCACAAGTTTCAATATAAGGAATAATTCCTACTCGAGAGTTGAAAAGAAAACCGTGTATATTCTGCTAAGAATAACAGTTTGAAGCTAATAGTGAATTTAAACACAACGTGTAAGTACAATAGTTTTAAGGTAATAGTAAATTTAGATACAACGTTTAAGTGCAGAAATAATGTAGTTTCAAATATGCAGTGATATAGTATAAAGGTACATAAAATACCAGTACACAACAATTGGGAGTCTCATGATTGACATGTTGTACATGCCTGGTTTAGAGGGTAGCATGAGACTCTTAATCTCAGGGTTGTGGGTTTGAACCCTACATCATGCATTGCAGGGGATGGGACTAGATGACTCTCATAGTCCTTTCCAACTCTATTACTCTATGATTCTATTATTATTCTCACTATTCCTAAATAACTTATGTGCACAAATTTGCTCAGGAATTTTTTTTTTAAGGGAGGGTCATGGACATTCTCAACTGGAGGTAGGAAGATATGAGGGCAAAAAGAGCAGTGCTGCCTTTTTAACCTTAACAGATGTGGAGGCGGGAACACGAAAACTCAGAGGGACCAAAAAACAGAGGGAATGCCCCAAGGGCTACCTGGTTGCCTTCGCTCTGAATGTGGAATCCCCACAAGGGCCAGCTGATGATACAGCAGCCAACAACATCCGGTTCAGCTGTGGAGATGGTGTTATACTGGAGGGCGAGTCCCCCACCTTTGGTACTTATGGCCAGTGGAGCAAGCGCTGCACCGCTGGTGCCATCTGTGGGATCCAACCATGAGGTTGCTTTGAACAAATCGCACCCACTTGCCAATCACCAGCCATCTTAGGCACAGAGATCTCTTATGTCTGATCTAAGCACCAGGCGGTAAGATTTCAGAATTTGAAGGAATCTGAGCACCACGCATAGCAGCTAACTCCTAGGAGCCAAGGTCCATTCGCCTCCCACATAAGCTATTTGAGGGGGTCACTCCCCCCCCCAAGTTGATGGGCACTGCCATTCTAATGGTGTGCATCATGTGATCAAATATGTGGGGTGGAGCTTACCTGCCTCCCCCCATATTGTATTCAAGTTGGCACCCCTGGCACCAAGCACCACCAAGAGCTCAAAGTGCAAGCAGAGTCTTATCCTGAATTTTAGCACTCTGCCCAACAGTGCTCAGCTCAGCTCAGAGATAAGCCTCAGGCTGTTATTTGAGAGTAGAAGGCAACATTTGCACATATTCCTACTCCAGGAGTGTGGTGGAAGAGGATGCAAATGCCTTTACTCTTAAAAAGTGCAAGCAGCATTTCACTTACCTTCAATCTATGCACAATGAAACTCTAGTGCTGAAACCAGAGAAAAGACTCTGCTTGCTCTTGGAAAGTAAAAAGCTTTTTTTTGTTTTTTGTTGACAAGGGATTTGTTTTTTAATTACATGATCACAAAACACTACAGTCACCCTGACTGTACTCATTCAAGCCTGATTGCACAATTCTATAAATCACAATACAAGAACAAATACATATGTTAAGAACCATCCATGATCAAAAGGCTTTCTGAAGAGAAAGCTTTCTGAAGTTGTTACAATATAATGCATGTAAAAATAGAAAGTTTAAAAACCAATCTCATCAGAGAGTCATTTCCATTTGTATGGTGAAATAAATAAGGCAGTAAAAAGGTGATTTTTATTCTTATAGGTTAGGGAAAGGGATCTCTGGCTTTCTGAATGTGTGTATGTATACTTGTCCGCCTGC